AAAAAAATGAATGATATGTAAAAAGCCAAAAATGAGTTTTATTTTGCAGAAATTACACAGAAACTTTATGGACACAAGCAGCCCTTTCCATTCATTCAGACTCAAAATAAAACAACAATTTAAACTTTTGTTTAACGGTTTCACTGAAGACATTTGATTGATTTATAAAGAGTGAAACAGAAGTGCGGATGTATAAATGTGTGTTGTACACATATTCGTCTGCCTGTGTCTTCCCTCTCACATGAAGGGTGTGGGGTCTCTCAGCAAAGGGAGCTGATCTCGCTCTTGCTGCAGCCCCACTTGCAGCAGGCGTTGGACAGGCCCACCACCACGTCCCGGCCCTTGCGGTCAGCCTTGCGAAGGGCTTCCAGGATCTCCTCTGTGATGAAAGAACGGGCCTTCCTGCTAAACACGGTTGTCTCTGGTGTGATGCTTAAATCTCTGGTCCCCTGGAGGAGACCCTCCACCACAAAGTTGTGACTCACGCCCTCTGAGGATTCATCCTGACGGGAGCTGAATGGGTCCTCTGAAGAATCTGCTGCACGGAAACAGAGGAAGCGTCATAAAACATGCAGGCTTCTCTAATACAGGGGAAACAGTTTAATCATTTTCTGTATAAAATCAAATGTAGAAATGATGGAGCATGTGAGTGACACAAGCCGGAGGGACATGGGTAAGTTTACTGAATTATGTCCTGAAGTTGTACATTCATTTTATAGTATATAGTACAGTATAGTACCTGCCCAGTGTTTCCGAGTGCATACATAACAATAATAATAATAATAATAGAATGTACATAAGATCGGGTATTAGATTTGTTTATTCAAATATAACATAAATAAATATAAATAATAAATCCAAATAATAGCATAACATGTTTCCCCTTTGGCATCTTACTACAGACTGTGACAGCCTGACAGAAAGCCAGTTGTGCCTTACTTTCAAATTATATACAGAGCGCTCATTTGACTGCTCCACAGCCTACTTGTTGCAAAGTTTGCAAGATGTGTTTGAACATTTTATTTTATGGGGCTTTCTGAAAAAATATTCCAATGCCCTATTACATGAGAAGGCCTCAGGATGGGGTCCGTTTATGGAGATCCTCAGGCAGGCAGCCAGGTGTTCACCTTGAAGCTGGTTTCAGGTCTGTTTTCACCTGAGGATAAAGCAAAGAAAATACCACAAACTGCACTAATATGAAGAAAATGCATGATTATTTGTTGTCCTGTTCAAGGTCATGCTCTTACCCTGTTCACCGTTGAGAAATCACGTTGTAATTGACACAGGAAACGGGTAAAACAAGTGCAATGCCTGCAAGGAGGCTCAGACAGGGGTAGAGGTTGGTCCACTCATCAAACTCGCTTGCCAGCAGACTCATGATCTCCTGGTTATTGTTCTTGAAACAACATTTGGTTTACCAAGGCATTAGTCTATGTGTGTGTATTGTGAACTGTAGTTGATTGTAGTCAGAATCAGCTTAATTGACCCACCGTGAATGCCCCAGGAAGGACATGATTTTTGAACGAGGACCACTCCTGCAGGACCTCATTCTCATGTTCAGGGCAACATTTCCTGCGAGTCCGCAGATGAGAGATGTTGATTGTATCATCTTGTAGAGTGGTTGATTGCGGTGCGGGTCCCAAGATACTGAAGGCCCCAAGAATGTCCAGATCATGAAACCTCCTCTCCAGGTGTGTTTCCAGGCCAGTTATGTAAGGGTGGATGACCTACAATGAATAAATCAACATATTTTTAGAAAGAGCCTACACCCACTGTTACCTCCGTCATTAAGGGCCAGGCCATAGTCTATTCAGGAGTATAAATTCCATTTTCTCTCATTCATAGTTTCAAAATTGGACATTTACCTCTCGCTGGGTTCTGGCTCACTGCTCCTCCCTCAGCGCTTCATGACATCTCGCCCTCTCCTATTCCTCTCCTCCTCGTGCTGGCTCCGAGTCCTTGGGGATCATCGAGGTCCTGATGGAGGCGAGGCAGGCATGATCCAGGGAGTGGAGTCTGTCCAGCCAGAGACTGAATTGTGACAGGAACCTATATATAAAAAAGAAAAGATGCTGTTAAGTATTGGTCAGACCTGCAAACAACCCTCATTTCAATGTGTGAAATCAAACAGATTTGAATAAATAGATGATAATATAGATAATAAACACATTAAGCTTACCTGCTCCTTGATTTGTAAAAAGTTGACATTTGCTTTTTGAAAGATTTTGGACAGACATGCGAGGTGGGGCAAAACATCAGCCTGGAGGTAAACTGCTGCCGCTTTATCTATGTAGCACAGAATGTGTAGGGTCCCTTTGCCACTGGACATCTTCTCATCTCTGCCTCCTCTGCCAAGGCTCCAAGGAATGCACTCAAGTTCCTCAGTAGGGTCTCGATGACCCTGTGCTGAAAGAGCCAGCTTGTATCCTTCACTTCCTGAAAATGTTGCAATAAAGGACAGAATGATTAGTTATGAATAGACAGAAGATAACTACAATGGTATCAAATAACTATTACCTTTATTTTCAGATCACTGACACCAGGGTAGCCGATGCTGCCCCGAGTGTTGCAGTACGATTTGCACTGTTTCTGAAAAATAAATGAAGTTCTTAAAGGTGGTCCCTATTCACCCCATTGAATAGGGACCCCATTCACACGCCGCCAAAATGTATATAAAATCAATGAGTGACAAGCATGGGATACAACAGACAAAACAAGCTCACATAGGCATTAAATATTTACCTGTCATCACGGCTGCCCCCTCAGTCCCAAGTCCATAGAGTTTCTCTGTTGGGAGGCCCTTCCTCAAGATTACATCCTTGATGGCTGTCACAACACAGAGTCTGCTTTGCCATCGTCAATAGAGACCAAGTCCAGGAATTGACTCAACACATGTCCCTCTTTATCCAGGTATCTGAGAGAAAGCAAAGGCAAGTATTTAGTATTAAAAGTTCATTCGGACCAAGGATGTATGCAATTCTAAAATCAGACAAAATAAATGGTCCTATAGCAGACATGCAAATGAAGCAGTCTGGACATAGAGACATCAGTGCTAGCCTGGAAGTCGGCTCCTCGATGACTCCTGCTAAGATCTCAAGCATTCCGTCAATGATACGATGAGATCTATAATTATTCCTCTGGTCAATCTGACGTTGGGAAAAGTAAAATATAAAATATTTAAAAAATGTATTCATTAATGTTAAGATTGAATTAAATTTGAAATTATGGCTAGGGGACCTTTACCTTTAATCTCTTGAAATAGTTACATCCTAGAAGCTCAGCCAGGCTCAACAGCTTTGGGTAGTTTGTGTGGGGGCCAGTTACTTTTTTATGAGCCAGTAAAGGCCCTTGAACCCACCAATGATTGCCTCGTGCTCTAAAACAACAGTTGGCTCAGAGGAATCCATCATTGAGATGCCTGTAAATGACAAAGTTATTAAAAATGGATTTGAATATACTGAAGTTATTACAAAACGGCTGTTGAAATCAGAACCCACCAGATGAAACAAGAGGCCTGACATCTGATGCTCTCCTGGTGGTGCTTCAGTGACGTGCCGTTCCAAGTAATCTTTTCTGTATACAGTCACTCCGACCTCAAGAAAAGCTCTCTTTGCCCTGCCTTTCTTATTTGCAGCACAGTCAACAAAACATCCCTAAAAAGTAAAGCAATCATTGATCAAATTAGCTAAATATCCACAGATATACCTGTTAATTTATTCTTTTTTTGTGATTGAATTATGCACAACACAATAAGATCACATATAATAACAAGTAGCTAAGGAAATAAGAAAGAAAATGGGGGGAAAAAAAGATTATTCATGATAGAACAAATTATGCAGGTAAAAATGTAACTTACCATGCTGTGTGTGGTACAGCCAAGTCTTTGAGGCATTCTCAGCCACTCTGGATCAGTGCCTCTGTGCTTGATGTCCTGTCTACAAAGCACAGAAGAATAGAAATGAGGCCTATTTCTAAGGAAATGTGCTTTTCTGACCTGACCTGCTTCTGCATCTGTGTTTGCTGTTGTCCTCCTCTCCTATTTCTCTCTCTCCATTACCCACATCCTATCCCATCCTGACTCTCCCTAGCAGTGCTTTTAGCTCTCGCAGCAATGTGTACTGTGTAACTATATTAATAACCATATTAATTTTCACTGAACTCATTTACAGAATATAGCAGTAGAAATATAAAATATAAATAACATATGGAATGAAAATAAGATATAAAGCACATAGATATAAAGTATAAGAAATAGTTTGAAGAATACAGCCATGTACTGAGCTCATGTTAATAATAAATGAGTTACTGTATGTTCTGTACTAAAGCACAGAGAGTTGGGACCTGTTAATGATTTAAATAATTCAGGTTATATTTGTTTCATGTTAAGATGAAGTACTATCCACAATAAGCTGCTTAATTTTTCCTCACCCAAAATCTGAGATCATTTGATGTGGAATATCATTGTGTGAGTGAGTGAGAGAGCTGAAAATAGAATGATTACAATAAGGTTTATCTTCTTAACTTTGAATAGATGTTGATTACCTGAATACTGGACCTTTGTTGTCTGGGTAGTACACTGTTGAATTTATAAATGTAATCTTACACACAGATGAATACAGAAAAATAGATGAGAACAAAAAAAATGATTTAATGAATAACTGATATTTTCTCTCTTTCTTTGCCATCCTGAAGACCCCTCACTAAAAGTCCATGTTCTCCTGGATCCGTGTCACATGTTCGAGCTTCTTCAGAATGACATTTCAACAGTCAAAGTTCTGGTGAGAGAAGATCGCCAGCAGATAAGACAGCAGTACATCAAGGAGCTCCACAAGCTTCAGGAGGAGGAGGAGGGTTTGCACCTTGGAAGACTGTATTCATGCTTCAGCTGTTCAAATAAAAATAGATCTCCTCCAAACAACTTGCAATCAAACCATTTTCTTCCCATTTTAAAACCCTTTGTCCAGTTTAGATGGGAGAAGTTGATATTATGTGATATTGATCTGGGAAGACTACATTTCTAAATCATTTTTAACTGTGCTTTTATTCACAAGTTATTGATCTTATTTACTCTCCATGTATATTGATTTAAGAATGGGGCTGTGTTTAAGGTCATCATTTTGCAATGACTCTGTTCCATCCCATTTTAAGAAATGAACTGCATTAGTATTTATCAAAAGAATAAAAAGTTGTGTAAAAGTAGACTTCCTTCCCTAAGCTATTGAGTTGAGCATTAATGCACATTTTAGTCTTGTCATTTCAAATCTGAAATGTATACTCATAAGTAGACATAAAGGAGTGCATTTATATAGAAATATTTATTTAATCTGAAAAACAACATTAAAAAAAGTCTGTTTTTATAGCAGAGATTAACATGTTTACAGCTTGGTACAAAACAAACAAATAGGTGTGATTAGCTCATGTCTCGATCGACACACACTGTACGGGGGGTGAATGTTTTGATGACTCATCAGTTTTGATTTGATGAAGGATAAGAGTTATTCACAATAAGGCGTGTAGCTGACCAGCTTGACAGGCGGGCGCGGTGTAACGGTTTGTCAAGAGGCTTAAAACACGTCTCAGCTCTCAGTCTGTGGGTGTCATCACTCAGGCCATCCGGGGGAGACCTCCCTCACAGCGAGCTGTTGAAGAGAAGCAACCGAAATCCACCCCAGAAGAACCAACAAATGCAGATGTTGTTGAAGCTCAGGTTTCTTCCTCTGTCTCTGCAGCTCTCTGGGCACCTCGACGGACCAGTCACCAATAATCCACACTGTGTCTATAGGAGAAATACAAAGGTGTTCAATTAATGCCTCAGACAAGACAAAATGTACAGTTAACTACATGTGACAGTTCAGGGTGTTTTTTTTGTTATTAGCCACATCTGCAGGAATAATATTGAACAAGGTAGCTGCAGCTCATCATAATAGATGCCAGTCTTAAACACTATTTTTTCTAATACTTAAATTTTTTGGTGTGAAGCTGACACTGTCCACAGACTCCATGACTTCACGGGGTTCAATAGAAAACAAATGTCTTATAATAAATGACAAAGGGTTTTTAATTGAGGATATGCTGGCAGAGGTAGGGGCATCACTGATCATCCCCCCACTAAAAACCGCCCCTCAGCTCAGCACATCAGACACTGGAAAAACTCAAGCTATTGCCTGCCTGAGAGTGTTGGTGGAGAGGATAATACGACGTGTCAAGGAATACCATATCTGGGATGGGGTTGTTCCTCTCTCCTTGGCCGGCTCCATCAACCAACTATGGGCAGTTTGCTGCCTGTTGACGAACTACCAAGGCCCCCTGGACATCAAAGGTGACAAGCCTGTCTAGCTGGTTGGATTTAGCACATTCCCCAGTTATTAATGACAATTAATCAAATGTAATGTATACATGAATTGTATATCTGTAATGTATATTATTTTGTTTATATGTTATTTACATTACAAATCAAGAGATTAACACATGAATTGTATATATGTGATGTTCATTATTTTGTGTATGATATGTTACTTATTTACATTACAAAGTCAAGAGATTAACATTTGAATAAAAAAGAAGTAAACACAGACCCTCACATCACATATTCCTCATTTTTATCTAAAATGGGATCACAGCATGTCAAGTAGAATAACTATTTAGTGCAGCATAAAAAACAGAACTGTAGTCAGTTACACAAATACATTTTAGTTTTAATTCATTAAAAGGCACATGTAAACATTTCATTTAACATTAATTAAACAGTCTTATTTACAAGGTTATGATTTTTCACTCAACAATTCATAAACTGCATTGATAGCACATACAGTACTCAATGTTTGGACTTGAGAAACACATCCATATAGATGTTGTAATAGAACATGTCAAGCTGCTGCCTCATTGAACGAATGGTGTCTTCATCCCTCCAGACCCTCTGAACTGTGAGATCTGTGTGTGTGCGTGTCAGTTACAAAGTCACACCACTCCAGTCCGCTGATGGCAAGTTGGCCCTGAACCTGCCAGTAATATTTATGACCCTTTTTAAGTGTGGCCTGACCTCTGACTGGTGTTAGGTGCTTAACCTCAGCAACAGAATCGGTACTGCAGCATTTCACTTCCACCAGTCCAAATGGTGGAGTTTCAGTCGGGTCAAAAACTTTGCCATCTGGGCTGACACCAAGGTGAGGTGCATCAGGGTGCACAATGAAGACAAATTAAACAAATCAGAAAACTGTTTTATTATGTCAGGCTCCTGCTTCAGACCCCTTTTCATTGCCAGGGTCTGTGGCGCTCCTTTA